AGAGTAAAGAGATAGACAGACATTGATATAGACAAGAGAAACCACTTAGATAAGATACAACCACAAGGACACAACAAAACAATTAATTCAAATTTCAGCAACTGAATACAACCACACAGAGACAAACATGATTGTACAGTGTAGCCTCTTTGGGCCCACACTACCTGTCCTTAATACATGTACAGTGTAGCCTCTTTATTAAGGACACCATTGGGTCCACACTACCTGTCCTTAATACATGTACAGTGTAGCCTCTTTATTAAGGACACCATTGGGTCCACACTACCTGTCCTTAATACATGTACAGTGTAGCCTCTTTATTAAGGACACCATTGGGCCCACACTACCTGTCCTTAATACATGTACAGTGTAGCCTCTTTATTAAGGACACCATTGGGTCCACACTACCTGTCCTTAATACATGTACAGTGTAGCCTCTTTATTAAGGACACCATTGGGCCCACACCACCTGTCCTTAATACAGAGGTGTCCTCATTTCAGAGGTACTTTTGTATAGGCTTGTACCAATTGGGACATTACAAAATGTCCTTGTTATTCAATTTATACCAGTAGATAATGAAAGCACAAAATAAGTTGTGTACTAATGAAAATAGAAGATCAAACGGAGAAAGCAAACTCCCCAGCCAAATCACTGGCTTGAGTTGATAAGGTAATATGGAAACAAGTAGTCAATAAAAGATTAGGGGAGGTTGTGCAGCTGGAAGAAGTTAAAAGTGACCGCCAGACGTCAAGGAAGGAAGCAAGAGAGAAGAATAAACAAAAACAAAAACAGAAACTAGAGACAAGTTTACTGCCAGTAGTAGTAATACGAGCATGTATAGAATATATGTAAGGATGCGCTCCATAGAGTAGCTGTACTAGAAGAATTGGCAGTGACTAAAGCAGTTTGAATGACGTAGGGTAATGTCAGAAACCAATTAATGGAGTATGAAATAAACTAGTCCTTAATAATGGTAGCACTTGGCAATAACAAGTTACAATGTAATGAAACACGCTGAGATTAGCAAACATAAATAATCCAGCAAAAAAACATAAACACATAAACTCAAAATGATCCGTATCCACATACAAATAAATATCTTCTACAGTTAGTTGCTTTGTTAGCTGTAGCTGGAGACATTTGATCACAATATGTGTGACCTACATCATGTCCCATTGCCAGCCAGTATATAGAATTAACAAGGTCTCATTCATACAAGACAATAATTAGAAACAGCATTCCATGTCCCACCACCTCCCAATGACTCCCTCTACACCTCCCTACAGCAAATACATGTACACGTACACACATGACGCTAGCATCAATGTGTCCCTGATAGGATTATGAAACACCGTGCAAGTGCATGTACATGTATAAAGTATTTATAATCTTGTCATAACAGGACTTCATGGTATGCCCAGTGAAAGCTGATAGGTGGTCATTCCAAAGAAGAAGCCAGTGGAGAGATGGCCTGTGTGTTAAGCTAATGAGATAAGGCTGGTATTGAATGCCTTTCAGTTAGGTAGGCCTCTTGTAGCTCAAATAAACAGACCCACCCAAATAACCCACACAACTTAATCATACCGACATACAAATACATGTACATGTACATACACTACAATCAGTACAGCCTCTCTTAATGGACACTCTCTATAGTGTACACCTCCATTTAACGGACAGCACCTAGTGTACCAATTACATTCCTTACTGTATAAAATAACCTCCACATAAAGGACACCTCTGTATAACAGAGACACTTTCAAAGTGTCCATTATATGGAGGCTTCAGACTCAGTAGTAACCTCATTACAAACAGTGGCCACACTCCACACTGGATATCAAATTACTAATAGACCAGTTGTAATGAATATGGGGCCATTTGTTTCTCACAGGATATGCTGTATAGAGAGAGGTGTGTCCATATCAAAGGATTGACACTTAATCTCAGTCAAGTTCACAGGCCCTCACTGATTAAAATAAAAACCACAAGAGGCTACCATGACAACCTGTCTCTGTACAAGACAGTAGCAAAGAGCAAACACAGACACTACATTAAAAACAGAAGCTTTGTCTTTCTCTAATTCTTCTCACCTCTCCCTCCCTCTCTCTCCCTCCTTCTCTAATCTAAAACCACGTACCCCATTACGTATGTATGGCTTACATAAGGTGGGTTACTGTATACTCTCATTAATCTAACACTAACGTCACGAAGGTGGGAACATGCTGTAACTAGGCAACAACATCAGTGAGACTGGAATGCAAACTGACACTTAAAGCAGATAAACACACGCCCAGTTCATTACACAAGTATTAATATATGATGTACTAGTTATTACACAAGTATTAATAATGCTTTTACAGGCAGAGAATGTTCATGTACAGTTGTGTAAGTTAAATCTAGTCTACAGCATATCATTGTTTGTGTCTGTTGGTGCTGAAGGATTCAGCTGATGGTAAACATTAATTATTGGACTTGAGTATCTGAAGTACGTGTCTTTATTGACGTGAATGATGCATCAACTAAAAGACTATTCTATTATTATACATGTGTACTCAAACTTTGAATGGCTGTAACTTGAAAAATTGAAGTCGGAATCAGCTCAAACTTTCTACACAGCATAAGAACATCAATATGTATCAGAAAATTTAATAAAAATTTGGGGTGATTTCGGAGCCATTTTTTGGAAAAAGCCATGGACTATAGCCTTGGGTACTTTTCAGAATTTTGGCATTTTCTTAAAATGGCTGTAACTTGAAAAATTGAAGTCGGAATCAGCTCAAACTTTCTACACAACATAAGAACATCAATATGTATCAGAAAATGTAATAAAAATTGGGGGTGATTTCGGAGCCATTTTTTGGAAAAAACCATGGGCTATATATATATAGTATATGGGAATTTTTCAAAAATTGGTTCATTTCTATACTTAAAATACTTTATCAGATTTGGCTCAAACTTTCTATACAGCATATGGACGCCACCTTTTATCAGAAGATGTAATAAAATTGTATCTGAAACATGAGTTACAGCAATTGAGGCTATTTAAGTACTTAACTAAACCACTGGACTGATGTTATTATTATCATCATCATCATCATCATCATTATTATCATCATTATTATTATTATTATCATCATTATTATTATTATCAATATTATAATATTATTATTATTATGGTCTGGAGCAAACAACTTTCAGATAAAACAAACAGAGTATCCCTTTATCTTTAAAGTTGTTTTGTATATGAAAGTGCATTAAATCTAATAAGTATATAGGAAGCTCACACACACACACACACAAAAGCAGCAGCAGCAGGAGCCTGTTGATACACACACACACTAATGGGGAAACACATGAACATGTGCCCTATGCCTCAGGGTATTAGGTACATTTTCACCATTCAGATTCATCATTATCATCATTTAAAAAGAGACTGGCATTAGTAAGCTGTACAGGTGCTGGCTATTGCGCCAAAAGAGGACAAAAAGATGAAAGGATGTGAGTAGCTGGTTCATGAGACCACATCAAAGGAAAGGATCACAAGGCTTCAATACTCCAACCTCCTCCTCCTCTCATTAGTACTACAGCTACAGGAGTATTGTATGAAGTGTGTGTTTCATGTATAGAAACATGAGAAAAGATGAAAAGACTATTATACAGGAGCATGCTCCAGTTAGTCCAATACAATAATAATCACTGTTAGATCTAGAGAGAGTTTAGGAGACTTTTGTCTCCCATATTTGGTCTAGGTCTCCTGAAATATCCCATTTTTCAGCTTTTGGTCTCTCATATTTAGCCCTAGGTGTCCTTAAGTATCTTAAAATATAATTCTAGATTTAGTAACGCCTGCTGGTTTAATTAAAATAGTTCATATAATGGCAATTCATTACAGCTGTTTGTCATAATTTGAAATTGACTGTGGCAGCTGAAACAGGAAATAGAGAGACATACAATCTATGGCTCCCATTAGCAGCTACTGGTTGAGTAATCAATATCTATTCATCAAATACGCATTGTTTAAATTCTCATTTCATGGATCAACCGAACATCAATACATCACAGCTACCCACTGACACAATAATAATTGTGACAATTGATACCTCTCTCCCCCTCTTTCTACCCTCCCTCCCCCCTCTCTCCGTCCCTTCTCCTCCTCTATAAAATAATGACTTGAAAGTTGGCTATATACTTTAATTTATCTTAGCTAATTGTCACCTCTAGCAGCTGTATCAAACTTATTTCATTACTTACGGGGATGGGGGCGGGGTCATGAAGGTGGGAGGATAACTCGTCTACAATGTCAGGTAGCCAATCAGGTATGGTATAAGGACAGGCTTGAACTAATGCAGCGAGACCAAGGACGCCACAGTGTTTATCGACCAGGAGGCCTGGGGAGTAAGAGAGAGAGGGAGAGAGAGGGAGAGAGAGAGAGAGAGGGAGGGAGGGAGGGGGAGGGAGAGAGAGAGAGAGGGAGGAGGAGGGAGAGAAAGAGAGAGGGAGGGGGGAGGAGAGAAAGGAGTAATCATAATTACAATATTGGACCATACAAGCTTTCAAAAAGGTACAAGTAGAAAGGTTGAAAATAGACAAACAAAACAAGGAAATTAGGAGAGTAGAGAGTGTAGGGCAGGCAGTCTAGACAGGATGGAAGATACGATTAGCAAATGATAGCTTTATATGACAATCCTTTGGCATAGACACTTTACAATATTTATATATTCATTCACATGTGAACTAAAAATCCACCCAGGTCTAAAATAGGATTAAATACATGTACATGTACAATAATACTAATAATAATAATAATAATAATAATAATAATAATAATAATAATAATAATAATAATGATGATGATGATGATAATAATAATAATGATGATAATAATAATAATAATAATAATACTAATAATAATAATAATATAATAGGTACAAGTGAATCATATACCATCATATCCTCTATTGGTGGTATCATTAATGGCAGCTGCAGTAGCACCATCAGTCTCCTCTATTGGGAGGGCTGCCCGTTTCTTTGGTAACCTAGTCTTAGCTTGTTTAGTGAAAAGAGTCTGAGAGGGAGAGAGAGAGGGAGAGAGGGGGGAGAGGGAGAGAGAGAGAGGGAGAGGGAGAGAGAGAGGGGGAGAGGGAGCAGAGAGGGGGAGAGGGAGGGAGGGGGTGAAATTGTCATAATAGTTAGCATTAATTGTCTCATAATGCACCTTGAGATTATCTGGTGATATTATGCCACATCTCACAAACCCACTGATGGTTGATGAGGCCAATTCTCTCACCTAAAGGAAGAGAAAGACAAAGATGAAAGAACAATACTACAGAAGGTAGTACAATGTGAGTGTACTACAAACTACACTCTCCAGTAAAGCTACTATTATGATATAACACTACATCCTTCCACTCGTTTCCTTTTCTTAGACTCAAAGGCTGCGTCTATATGACTGACGTTGTGTTAGTGTAGTCGATGTACAGTATAGTCGTAATATAATGAAAATTATATTTTTAAAGAAAAAAACAACATTCACACACCTAGCTGTCAGTGATGATCATAACCGGTTCAAGGAAATTAACAATAACAAATGAATCATTTACTTCTCATTATAAAAAAAGCAAATTATTATTGCTAAATTAATTCTGATGATGATTACAAATTTCAAGTTATGATCATTAAAAAATATGCCCAATTTTCTGTATATTTTAATACAGGCTTTAAAAAATAGCTCCGAAATCACCCTCAATTACATTTTCTGATACATATTGATGCTCTTAAAGCTATAGTAGTTCATTCAACACTGGTCAAATATTGAAATAACTCTACACGTCATTCAATGATTAGGTAACAATGATTGAAGACACGTACCTGTGTATGTACATCAACCACAATGTTTGACAAGAGAAGTAGTACCAGTACCAAACCACATTAAAGACATTAAAGAATACACTCCCTTGATGACATATACTCCAATATTATACAATACAATATAGTGTTACATTATATGGGCATTAGTGAGTCTAGTATAGCCATTTAATCTCTGAGATCATGTCCAGGAGAGAGACATTATTCCCAGAAACTACACCAATTATCAATCACTGTCACTGTGCATGGAGTATTCAGATTAAAGAGAGCTCTTTCCTGAAACGTGTGCTTTGATCTACGTGACATAAGTCATGCAAATCCGCCCTACCCTCTTTCTCTCCCTCCCTCTCTCTCCCTCTCTCCTTTCATCTCTCTCCCTCCCCCCCTCTCTCTCCTTTCTCAATTTGAAAAAGAACAAACTTATACACTTTTATAGTCCATACTGCACACAAAGAGAAAGCGGACTCCAATAATTCAGTCATTATCTGCAAATTGACTACATGCCTCTTTTGATCATTAATGTACATGTACATGTGTGTGTGTGTGTGCAATGAAATTCAATGGAGTGTGAACACAACTCAAAACACACTTTACATAAAGAGAGAGAGAGAGAGAAAGTGATGGACGTGTGTCCCTCTCCTTTGATCTCTTCAATCACAAACAAACTTCTCTTTGAGTGTGTGTGTGCGTGATACTGCATGCTCCACCAGTTAAGGTAAAGTTACCATACAATAACAAACAATACTGTCTACCTCTTCTTTATGACAAACACACAGTAACATCTACACAGTGTCTACATGCATCTTGTATTGCTTTGAATTAGCAGCTGCTATAAGTGTCTGATATTGTCAAGACAACAAAAAGGTATTTATTTAAAGGAATGCCCACCTCATTCAGTTTCCATTAATTCATACCAGCTTTATTGCCCGCAAGGTTTCATAAGGAAATAAAAGGAACTAGAACTATTAGCAATACATTAAAGATTCCATAGTTGACATTCTTGTTGTTAAGGAGGGCCAGGGTAGTTTAAGATAGCCTCCATGGTCACTTTATAAATCCTGACGTCATTTTCCTGTTATGATTTCATTACTAGTACATTAAGTCATAACTGCATGAATCATTGATTAGAGTATACCTACATGTACGTGTATATGTTGTATAGAGACTTTGAGCTAATTCTAATCAAAATTGGATTTTTAAAGTTGCTCAAAAATTGAACCAAAGTCCCTATACTATAGCAAGGCTGCAAAAGTCATGGCAGCCATTTTAAAGTGGTATGAATCAATGCCACTGTGTTACTAATAGTAATTATACTATCCTACTTCACTTAACATACTTAGGTATCAACAGCACATTGTCCATCCGACACACTATAAAGCAATGGCTATACTGAGTGGCCACTAACTAGTTTCATTATCATTCCATCAATTAAACAGAAATCAACAACCAACAGTAGATCAAAGAAAATGATTAGAATATATTCTCAATAATATCACAAGGACACGTCTGCCAAACTCAACATCCACCAAGTGACATCATGTGAGAATATGATCATTGGCACCAGTGTACATGAAATAAAGTCATCATACACTCGACTGCAGTACACAACCTCCTCTAATGAAATTCACACACACACACACGTACATGTACATGTGAATATTACCATAAAAGGACACTATTGTATTTTAATTAATTGTGTGCAGTTAAACAGTTTGAAATGTATGGGGCATGCCATACTAACTAACTATATAAAGTACAGTAATGTAGAAAGAATAACGTTAGAAACTTGATGAAGAATAAACTGAGAAAGATTGGAGAACATGTTTTGTTATAATTAAGACACATAACGGAAACTAGCAGTTACTGCTGGGAATGAAACATAATGAAGCCAATTATTCTATATAATGCCCATGCACGTGTGCCTGCTAATTAGAATAGGATCATTCTATAGTTTAAAATATTCAAAGAATGAGAACAATATTATGAAACTGTACAGATAATTAACAACCATTGAACACAGAGACCCAAGAAAACATGAAACATGACGGAATACATTTAAGTGTAAATCATGAATAATAATTTAATAGTAACTAATTAATAATAATTATTACATCATAATGGACTCTACTACAATCTTTTAGCGTACCAACAGTACAAATGTCATTTCAATATTTCATCAGCCTCATATTCTAATTATAAGTGACGACAAACAATTAAAGGCTTTGCAACACTTCCCCTGATAATTGGTACAATACCCCATTACCCTATTACTAACAAGTGTCAATTAATCTATAAAGTGTGGAGTTGACTCCTAACTGTTCCTCCATTCCATGATTCAATGGAATTTCCTAAGCCTCAAAAGTGTCACAATAATTCACAGAACACTACTCATCAACATAACTGAGAGACTTAAATCATACACTCCAGCAAACAAACAAACTATAATCACTCATTGAGAATGGAAAATGTGACAAACAGGAACATGTCATGTACTGTACATCCTTCAGCCTGTCTGGAGGTGAGTATCTAATACCTGAGTCCCTTGATATCTGCCCTCAGCTTCACCTCAAGCAGATATCTTAGTCCTCAGGTATTACATTACTTATACACACACACACCTCCAGACAGGCTGGTGACTACATGTACATGTACTGGAGGTAATGATAAATAAAATAATAATAATTACTTCAATTTGTGAGTCTCCAAGAAGAGAGAGTAAGAGGTCGTTGAGTTCTTTCTTGTGGTTAGCAACTGTAAAGAAATTCCAAAATACCAAAACCTGACAAAAAGGAGAGAAAATAAGAATAAATTAATTAATTAATTTATTCATATGCACCTGGAGTACATACAAAACAAGAAGTTTAGCTTTCCATACAGAAGTGGAGGCAGCCTAAAAAAATGAAGAGGAGAAGAGATGAAAGGTAAAATGACAAGAGGAGTAGGGGAGGGGGTACATGATAAACACCAGCTGTGAACATAACCACTGTATACCTTCTTCATTGACTTCAGTACAACTGGTAAATGATCAAAATTGAGTTCATTGCGACATAACTGGATACTCATCTAGCAAGGGAGGAGGGGGAGGGAGGGGGAGGGAGAGAGAGGGAGAGAGAGAGAGGGAGGGAGAGAGAGAGAGGGAGAGAGTAAAAGTGTATTTAAGGAACACATGTCACTTACAATCCTAACAAGGATCCCAACTTCGTCGTCACCTTCATAAGAAGCTAAAGGAACTAACTGGAATATACAAAAAAAAGAAAATACAATGTACAGTACATGAAGATTGTGTAAAAGAGAGAGTGAGTGACATACCAAACTGAATAACTCATAATACTCAACTGCTGAGGCGTGATAAGAATTAATAACTGTTGCCATAGCTATAGAAAATAGAATAATAATAATAATAATAATAATAATAATAATAGATGTACATGTACATAAAGAATAATTGCAGGTGCATGTTCACCTGTCTTGCAGACTCTGAGTGTTGGTGAATCCTGTTCCAGTGCTATCAGTTCAGGAGGTGAGGGTATGCTAGGAGTGAACAGGTTCATCAGGTTAGACAAGGGAAGGTTGTAGAGCAACTGAAAGCCACTGGAGCTGAGATCCAGTACATGAATACTAGCAATAAGACTAAGAAGAGACACAAGTATAATTATCAGCAATAATAATAATGGACACTGTGTCTCTGTTATACAGAGGTGTCCTTTATGTGGAGGTTATTTTATACAGTAAGGAATGTAATTGGTACACTAGGTGCTGTCCGTTAAATGGAGTGTCTGAAGTACGTACGTTCCAATCTTTTCCCTGACATTCTTGTATGGATGGTCGATATGAGACGAGAGGATGAGAGAGAACTTTTTCAGCAAATAGGGAACCCTCCACTCCTGCTGGGCCAAACCAATGTGCAACAGTGACAGCTGACTATAGAATAAATAATCTTAAAAACTAGCCGACATAGTGTTAGCATGATCAATGGATGAACCTTGATTCAGTAAAGGCTCCTCTGCTTTCAGTAAAAAGGTCTTCCATGAGTAGCTCTAAAAACCAACCAACACGTCTAGGATCCTTATCAGCCTAAGGGACACACAGTGTGAGAAATAAAGGAACAAAATGAAGGGTCTTGTCTTAATACAATAAAGTTATCATAAGGTGGTAGAATAGGCACATTCTATCCACGTACCGATATATCAGAGACACATTGAGTCCAGTCTTCAACCGTTTCTTGTTGGATGTTGTTAATAATCTTACGGAACAATGGCTCCAGCCAAGACCTCATCTCCATCACCTAACAATAAAAAATTAAAATCAAATAAACCAAATTACAGCTGCTCCACATTGGGATACACTTACCATCTCGTAGGGCCATTGGGTGCTGCTCCTAACCATCCCTGCTATTATCTCACAGCAGCACCTCTGGCTGCTCTCCTAAGAGGAAATAAAGGTATCATATTCTAAAGACTTAAGGATCAGAATATATTCCAGGTGTACCTGACTGTCAATTGATAGCTTCTCAAGGTGAGGACGAAACAGGTGTGACAGACTGTTGCCATAGTTACGAAAGAGGTTCTGGTAAATGATAAAGTGTTAGTTTTTGATTGATTCTATCATATGTCTACCTTGAACATGAGAGCTCTCTTCATGCTATACTGATCCTTCCCCTTCACTTCCTCAAGCGAATGAAATGAAATGAGTTTCTCCAGAAAACCCTCATCAGTAAATGTTTCATAGAAAACCTTTTCGTGCTATAAAAACGAACCCACCCACACACAATAACGAGGTCTGCTAGTAAATTAAGAGATAGCTTACCTCAGATAACTCTTCTATTGATCTATTTAATTTAGGCTGTCTGTCCATTGGAGCAAAGCCATAGAGTATCCTAATGGGAAAAGAGAGGGAAAGAAGGAGGTTTAGACTATAGAGGCACTGCCAATATACTTTGGGTAGCAGTAGAATCCATATCTTGTCTTGTGGACCACTCCATTGTTGCTGTCCCATTCTTCCTCTGTCTCTTTTAGACTCTCAGTCAAACACAACCTAGAGGAGAGAGAGAGAGAGGGAGGAGAGAGAGAGTGATAATAGATCCAAACAGTCTAACTGACCATTTATTATCTTCCCTTTCTCCAGGAGTAAGTTTACCGCTAATACTCATACCAGCTGTTAATTATTAATTATTTAAATTAAACCCAATATCACAAGTCCCTTACCAAACTTCTCAATATCAATTGGTACTTTAGCCTTAGGTCTCTTCAGCTGCTGGAGCAACAGAGTCACAGCGTATATGGATACCTATCAATTCATTAACTAATGCTTTGATTTTAATCTTTATGTACATGCACAATAGCCCCCATCACTAGTATGGACTATGGAGTATGTGTATCTATTGATGCAATGTTGTGTACACATGTTGTGTTCATTAATGGAGTCACATTAAATAAACAAAATTCCAATGCATAACATGTACAGGCAGTTACTAGATCTGGCCATAATGGCTAGATCATATAGGGCAATACTTTAAACAAGCAAACTTTACTTATCATTATTTATTTATTATTAATAACAGTAAGTCAACACAGAGTGTGTTTGTAAGTAGGTTAGTCTATCCTAAGTGTGTGTTTGTGCACCTTATACTGATCTGATAATACATTGCACTACAGTATTATATAATGTGTATACAACACGCATCAATCCTGTTTATGTGCACCTGCCACTAGCAGTAGCCATTACAGTAAGTCTAGTACAGGGACATTGGCCAAATTTTGTCAAAAATGAAAAGTTGAGACTCCTCCATTTTTACAATTATTTCATGTACATTCTCTCTCTTACTTTTCTTATGTTAAGAGCGTCGTGGACAAGTGAAGTAACAAACAGCTGGACTCCTTTCACTGGGTACAAGGTATCATGTCTTATCAACATTGCCAGGAGCTTCATGGACACTTCAGTGAACCGCCACTGCCTGTATTATACAGATACCCTCTTAACCACACCCACCAACAAGACCACACCCATTACTTACGTCAGATCTTGTTTCCCCTCAGTAACCGTTACAATGTTGTTAATTAAAGATTCATAAGACCTAAAGTTTAATTATATTTAACACAATAAATATTTTTCCTACTCTAGATTTTGTTTATTCATTCTTTTAAGACGCTCCGCCCCCTCTGCCAGCTCCTCGGGTGGGAGGGGCTTCCCACTGAGAGCCACAGCTGCTGGGATACAAGACTCAGGGACTTCATACGTAATAGCAAAGGTGTCGTAGGACTTTTGGATAGTGTTGTGTAGCCGGCTTATTAAATTAAGAATACTCTCTTTCTCAGAATGATCCGCCTAATAATGAATATTAGTAATGAATATTAATAATAATAATGAATAATAATAATAAAATTATTAACAATAATAATGAATAATAATAATAAAATTATTAACAATAATAATGAATATTAATAATAATAATACTAATATCTGTTACCTGTATCAATAGTATAAACACTTTCCTCATTTGCTCCCAATCATGTACGATAGTTGAAATGAGAGGAGGAGAGAGCAGTAAATAGAGACTGCCCTAAAATAAAATAAAAAACATATTTAGTGGAAGGAAAAAAATAAAAAAAGCGACGAGGGTGGGATTCGAACCCACGCGTGCAGAGCACAATGGATTAGCAGTCCATCGCCTTAACCACTCGGCCACCTCGTCCTCGCTGACAATCATGGTGCTCAGATCAGAAGATAATACACAAAAGTGATCGCTACTTCCCTTTCAACAAGCCAGGAAAGTCCATTTTTACCTTAAATGTCTCGTGTGAAGTATCAGGGTTGTTCTTTAAGCACTCCACTATCATTGGCAGGGACTTACGACCAGAAAACAAGTAAGTATCAAAGCACAAAGCAACAGCAGACTGGGCGGCAATCCTGACCTGTAGGTACATGAACCAGCTGCTGCTGCAATGACGAGTCTAACCTGAGCATATGTGCTGATAGAAAGGTCAACAAGATCTTCTAGTATCGTTAAATGGAGGGGAGTTAGTGGGGACATGATCCTGTCCATCATACGCAGCTGCGATGGCAATAATAAATAAATAAATAATGATAATGATGATGATAATAATAATAATAATAATAATAATAATAATAATAAGTACTTCGTGTTGCAGCTGTGCTCTTGTGATTGTCATTGAGCGAACTTGGAAATCTTTTTTGTCATTCAACTAAAAAATGTAAAAATTTTAATAATTATATAATGACTTTATACTTTGTCTCTCAATGCTGCCCTAGTCTGTTTGAAATAGGTCCACCTTTTTAAAAAATTATTATTTACAAAATACTCAAGAAATGTTTTTACCTTGCATCCAGCTCTTTGTGATCAGAGCCAAAATTAATCATTAAATGTTTAAAAATCTAAAAATTGCAAAATTAGAAGTTTTTTCTACAATTTTCTACAACACTGTGCAGTCATGAGTGCATAAACTTGCTTCAGTCAATGATATTAAACTTTTAGTATCATCTTCACAATTCTTCATCAAATGGACTAAAAATGGCCACACAGTTACGCGCTATCAGTTAATGGTTCAAGCTACCTTTCAGTTCATGAAAGAACTCGAACAGCTTTTGGCGGGTAAACTCTTGAGGTGGCAAGTGAACAGCTGATGATGTCTTATAGAACCATCTGGTAAGAGGAACCTCACTCTGAGGACTATAAGGATAAGAGAAAATGAGACAGCATTCCTTCTCTCTCTCACCATCCATCAACTGGAGGGCCGGTATAATGAGGAAGGTAAGCAGCTGCTCCACTTAATATTGAATTAACGAGTTCAAGACTAAGCAACAATGAATCGCTAGAAGAAATGCAATATTTGGAATAAAAAGAGGACGAATAAAATAAGTTTATTTCGTTTCTATACCGATCAAGTGAGAGTGTCCCTTTTGTAAAAGAGTCTAGTTTATCAAGTTCAGGTTTAAGGACTTTCTGTAGGATCTCGTCGGCAAATTCATACTCTTTCTCTCCTGGAATGTACCAGCTGATGTTAGTGTCTTTAATGTGACAGGAGCTAGTCCAATCCTTAGAGAATGAACATTATAAGATAATAGGGTAGAGGGTACATGTAGGTGTGGTTGGTTACCCTGATGTAAAGGTGATCCTTGGGGTCTAAATCAAAACCGAGGGAGAGAAGACGAGAGTCCCTCGGGTAAGTCTGAGTCAAACTGTGTAGCATTGAGTATATGAGCTAAAAAAATTATCCAATAAAAATTATAAAAAGTAAATAAATTAATGGAAAGGTGTGATTACTTTAGAAACATGCTTAGCTGCTCTTTTGTTCTTGATTTGCTTCACACAAAGATTCAAGCAGCGAAGGAGAGACTCAGAGTGACTCACCAAAGCATCTCCATCAGTAGCTACAACCTTTAAAAGACCACACCCATTGAGCCACACCTACAACAAAACGTACGTGAGAAAGAAGCTGCAGATTCCACAACAGATCAATATCAACGTTATCAGAATCAACTTGTTCTCCGTCTAATAAGATCAGAAGAGACTCGCATCACATTATAAATACTAGCAGTACCTTCAAGAATATTCTCAATATTTTGAGTACAGTACGGTACAAATTTCTTCAAAGTAAGAACAGGATGAACTTTAGAAGCAGCTCCACATAATTCAGAACAAATCTTGCTGGCCACTTCGCTCTCAAAGACACGAGTGGAAGCAAACCGAAAGATCTTATCAAACGCCACCTGCAAATAACAAGAAAATGACGATACAATTATATCTCTCTAGTTGAATTTGCCATAATTTAGTGAAATTACATGTACACATATGCTCTTAAAATGGTGGATACATTATTACAATTGTACATGAACTTACTTGAAACAGCTCCACTGACAACTGCCCCAGTACCGTACTCACTGCTCCCAGTATACTAGCTCCAATGAGTGCCTCGTGTGAGTCCAGTTTCGGTTCTTCTTGTCGTATCTGGCCAGACTCAACTTGTTGCTGGTGACTGCTACAACTCTCCACAATCACAAAACATCTAAAAAGGATTTTTTTTCTTTTTTTAATGACTTAATTTTGACTGACCTTTCAAGAAAATCGTCAACAAATTGTTCAAATTCAGTCGTCGCAGCGCAAAGCACTTCTTCATCCTACAAAAAGACATCAATATGTATCAGAATTTCAGAAAATGTAATAAAATTTGAGGGTGATTTCGGAGCCATTTTTGGAAAAAAACCATGGGCTATAGCCTTGGGTACTTTTCAGATTTTTGATGTTTTCTTAAAATGGCCGTAACTTGAAAAATTGAAGTTGGAATCAGCTTAAACTTTCTACACAGCATAAGTACATCAATGTGTATCAGAAAATGTAATAAAAATTTGGGGTGATTTTGGAGCCATTTTTCGGAAAAAACCATGGGCTATAGCCTTGGGTATTTTTCAGAATTTTGACATTTTCTTAAAATGGCCGTAACTTGAAAAATTGAAGTCAGAATCAGCTCAAACTTTCTACACAGCATAGGTACATCAATATGTATCAGAAAATGTAATAAAAATTGGGGGTGATTTCGGAGCCATTTTTCGGAAAAAACCATGGGCTATAGCCTTGGGTATTTTTCAGATTTTTGACGTTTTCTTAAAGTGGTCGTAACTTGAAAAATTAAAGTCAGAATTAGCTCAAATTTTCTACACAGCATAAGGACATCAATATGTATCAGAAAATGTAATAAAAATTGGGGGTGATTTCGGAGCCATTTTTCGGAAAAAACCATGGGCTATAGCCTTGGGTATTTTTCAGATTTTTGACGTTTTCTTAAAGTGGTCATAACTTGAAAAATTAAAGTCAGAATTAGCTCAAACTTTCTACACAGCATAAGAACATCAATATGTATCAGAAAATGTAATAAAAATTGGAGGTGATTTCGGAGCCATTTTTCGGAAAAAACCATGGGCTATAGCCTTGGGTATTTTTCAGATTTTTGACGTTTTCTTAAAGTGGTCATAACTTGAAAAATTAAAGTCAGAATTAGCTCAAATTTTCTACACAGCATAAGGACATCAATATGTATCAGAAAATGTAATAAAAATTTGGGGTGATTTCGGAGCCATTTTTCGGAAAAAACCATGGGCTATAGCCTTGGGTATTTTTCAGATTTTTGACGTTTTCTTAAAGTGGTCGTAACTTGAAAAATTAAAGTCAGAATTAGCTCAAATTTTCTACACAGCATAAGGACATCAATATGTATCAGAAAATGTAATAAAAATTGGGGGTGATTTCGGAGCCATTTTTCGGAAAAAACCATGGGCTATAGCCTTGGGTATTTTTCAGATTTTTGACGTTTTCTTAAAGTGGTCGTAACTTGAAAAATTAAAGTCAGAATTAGCTAAAACTTTCTACACAGCATAAGAACATCAATATGTATCAGAAAATGTAATAAAAATTGGGGGTGATTTCGGAGCCATTTTTTGGAAAAAACCATAGACTATAGCCTTGGGTACTTTTCAGAATTTTGGCATTTTCTTAAAATGGCTGTAACTTGAAAAATTGAAGTCGGAATCAGCTCAAACTTTCTACACAGCATAAGCACATCAATATGTATCAGAAAATGTAATAAAAATTGGGGGTGATTTCGGAGCCATTATTAGTAAGTAAACTAACGTGAGTCATTTCTACGTGTCCAATCGCAGATGAACAGTCAACCAGTGGTACCAATGATATTAAAGATGATATTAATAAACTTGAAGCCTACACACAAGAATAGAGTCTTTATTCATTGCACACTGGGACATTCTCTTACCAGCGTCTTTCTCAAATCGTTTGGATCAATCCCTGGTATTGCTGATATTAACAGGAGGAAGAGGTGCGTGGGCCCTTCAGGGAACCTCCTGCCTGAGAGGATGGCCCTGGAGACTACAGTGACACAGGAGAGGGTGGACACCACCTGGTGGGGCTCAGTCAGGGTCTCCAGGGCAATATAAGTCCTTCAAAATACATTCAAATTTTAAGTCAGCTCAATTTTTTTTGAATAATAATTTTAAATATTAATTCAAATTTAAAGTTCGAAATTTAAAATTTCAAAATCATTATAATAATCAAACATACTTGCTCATCAGTGTAGGGAGGATCACTTCAGGACGAAGACTAGCTAAGTTCTTGATGGCCAGTGCTGCCTCCATGGATCCTATCTTACTGAATATTGAGAGCCAAACCGTTGGACAGAGACAGGCAACAAAGTCATCAATATCCTTCTCTGAGAGACAAGAAGAAGGAGGAGGCTTTGGTAACCAGGAATCACTGGAGTGACGCTCACTATACAAACAAAATATTAATAATCATACAAGTACATGTAGGATCACTGATCACTGTTACAATGTATTTGTGAATCAAACATTATGTTTCTTTATAAACTATTAATTTCACGTGGTCATAATTTTACCATTTTAGTCTCAAGACAAATTTATTTGTCAGACTAGTAAGAAATTTCAGAAGTTTCCTCTACAAAAGACGAACTATTACATTGACAATACGTAGCGATTCTCACTGTGTGTAGCCCAATGTTTGATGGGTAGTAGTACGACTCAAGGGCTTCCATTAACTTTGAAAGATATTCTTGAGCCTTACTGCCTCCTCCCTAACAAACTAACGTAACGACATCATCAGGTAGGCGTGGCTTACCAACAAGCTCACTATGAGAACTGCTATATCCTCGCCTGATGGAAACCTCATGCTTTTTTGAGTCTGAGGGGTCTTGAATTCTTTGACCCCCATGGGGAGCTCAAAATTATTTAGAATGTGAGTAAAGATCTGATTTATAAATAAATAATATATTTTAATAAGTAATAATAATTATTATTATTATTATTTTACTTGTTGCAAGTATGGTGACCAATCAATATGGCCGATAGTGTCTTCAGCAAGACGAGAGAATAGGCTAAAACCAACCTATAGGTAAACAAACAAAATAAATAAATAAATAAATAAATAAATAAATAAATAAATAAATAAATAAATAAATAAATAAATAAATAGGTACTTCATCTAATGCAGAATTGTTTCTTGCTTCAATCCATATATTAATCAGCTCTTTAAACCAGAGCTGGTGGGTGTATTGGAACTCCTCTGGACAGACTTTGGTTGGGAGAAAATCATTGAAACGTTCCATTATCTCCAACATGGACGTGTCAAAGGGACAGAGCAATGGACGCCCTTCATCCAGTATCTCTTGAGTACTCTCCAGAGTAAAGTAACTAGGAGAGAGAGAGAGGGGGGGGGAGGGGAGAGAGAGAGAGAGAGAGAGAGAGAGAGAGAGAGAGAGAGAGAGAGAGAGAGAGAGAGAGAGAGAGAGAGAGAGAGAGAGAGAGAGAGAGAGAGGTGAAGTGAAATGAAGAACATGTAGAATGGTGGTATCTAAGGAAAGGAGGAAAGGGTATTTTCTTACCATCTCATGGAGTCAATGAGACCCTTAACACTTGCAATGGCCCGACTATAAATAAATAAATAAATAATAATAATTCTAGTTGTATCAATCAGATTTCTGTTAACAAGTACATGTAAATCCCCAGGGCCTGTGTTTAGTATAGTAACTGTTGCTAAGTAAACCCAGCTGCTGCTGGCAGTTTATTTTGTGCCGCCCTTAGGTAAGGACCCGGTGCCGCTGATACAACAAGGAGAGGTGAAGTATCTGTGGTATTTAATCACACTGAGAGGCCAAAGGTCCGAGGCCGGACATTGATAAGGCCATTTAGTTAGCGTTAGTTAGCAAAATCCTTTTAACAAAATTAATGCATTTTTAAAATGAAGGGAGACTCTCTTTAGTAAACTTAGGCTCAGGAAACTTGGATCTACATAAGTCATTCATGAACCTAAAATCGAGCAATCTGATTGATCAGTTGCAACAAGGTATAGTAATAATAATATCATTTCTAGCTTAAAATGTCTCACGAACTCTGAGTATATTTTCATTCCTAGTCTCTTGAACTTTGTGTCTGATATTCGCACCACAAGGTCGTACATTGGTCGCCATGAGAACCGTATGTCACTTGGAGACAAGAGCTTCTTCTTTCTAAAAAAACAATCAAAATATACTCTCCCTCCCTCCCTCTCTCCCTCTCCCTCCCTCCCTCCCTCTCCCTCCCTCCCCTCTCTCCCCCCTCTCTCTCTCATTACTTGAGTAATTTTTCAAGAAGGGTTGACCAGCACTTAAGGAGAGGAGACTCAAGATTTGGTATAGTTACCAGGTGGAACAATAACTGGACAAGATTAATGTGATCCTCTTTCGTAAAGTGAAAACCATAAATCTTAATGAAACTGTGAGATAAAGGAATTAAAGAGTAACACGATCAAACATGACCAATGCATTATAACTATGCTGTTCCACAGTGTATATACAAGGAAAGGTAGATTATGATCCTCCATATATGGAGGACCCAATAGTATTAGACAATAGAACTAACACAAATGTTGCATCACATGCCAAATCCACTCACACATTTATTACATGTACATTACATGCAATACATGTATCAAATAAGAAAAACATGCACGTGTACCTAACAATAATAACATGTACATGCAGCAAGATAAGGTATTAGCTGGTGTACTTCATACCTTGTGAGTCTGTTAGTCCAAAACAGACCTCCAGGCCAGAGGTCCCGTTTCTGTACAGCAATACTCAGGTTCAGTTTGATCTCTCCAAACAACTGGTTTGCCTCTTCTTCCAAGCACTCGGAGTAGGGGAGTAGCTCGTTGATGATGAGGGACTTTTGGTAACGTTTATAGTTACTAGCATCCTTTTCGGCAGCCATTTTGAAAATATACCTCAATTCTAGAAAATAACGAATGGTCGGAGTGATCCTTCTCCTTATATACTGGAAGGAAACGATGAATCAGCTGTGCTATGTCGTATACTCGTGTCAAACGACTCAAAATTGTAGACAGTGAATCTCCTTCTAATTCCAATTGATGCACATGTCACAAAAATTTTATGGGCCAACCTCAAAAATAAGCGACTCGGACAAACACGTGCGAACACGTGGGTGACAATAGATAGTATCGTCATTAGTATACACAGAACTAACACATTTTGATTGGTTATATAATATAAAATGCATTTCTATCATCATCATTTCATTGTTATAATCATTATAAAAGATAATTTTGATCCATCTCCAATAAAATGGAGTGAGCATCTTTCTTGAGTGTTTTCTCCAACCCGCAGTAATGCGAAGCCAGAAACCCCCTTACAATATTAGTCAGAGAAGGAGGTTGGAGGCGTCCTAATGATTGCCTGGTTAGGTTGACGAGTTCTACAGCTGAAGACCGAGACTCTTGATCAGGCAGGAACCATGGTATAGATACAATGTAATCCACTAGGTCTTCATGAGCCATCACTTCCTCAGCATTATCAGACACTGCCATACACTTCATACTTAGCAGGCCGGCCTGAATGCAATATCTGTGGAGCTCAGACAGGCACTGAGCCATAGAATCCTCTCCCTTCATTCCTTCAATATTTCCTTTTGGTGAATAGCAAAGACTCAGGAATGGTATGAAAGTGGACCAGTAGTATCTCTTTTCTTGCATTCTTTGCTGTATGATGTCATATTTGACAGTTGATATGTAGCGACTCATGAAGGTTCTGACAGTCGAGAGGAATATAGGAGAGAGAGGAGTATCACTGTTCCAATGGTGGATGAGATTGGCAAAGAATATTAGTGCATAGAATCTAAAAAAAAATTAAAATAGAAACGTGCACATCTTCAATAAAGAAGACTCACTCTACTAGTGTCTTATTGATAATCTTCTCATTAGTTCCAGTTCCATCATTAATGTAATGTATCCTATTGCATATCTCAATGATTCTCTCAAGCAATGAGTCCACTGATAAATACTCGTGAGTCTCTGGACTGAAGGAGAGACAGAGTAGGGCACACATGCCTGAGCGAGCACAGGTGAAGGTATAGGTCTTTGAAAGCATTGCCGATATCATGTTGGACAGTACTCCGGACCTCGAGGCAATGGGGACACGGCACTGAGGTACCTCAGCAAAACTAACAGGAAAGAGAAGAAAAGAAGCTAAAGTATTGACATTATGTGTAACTAGTTTTACTCCAATAGTTTTATGGCAGTAACTCACTTGCCAACCACCACAATGGCAGCATAGATGGTTTCAGCCAGCATGTAAGTACTCCTCTCTAGACTAGCGTAAGGATCTCTTAAAGGATCTAGGACTTTGACTGACGTGTACGGCTCCAATTTAGTCCTCATTAGGGACTGAAACACTTCCTCCATCACTCCATTCTATAAATAGAACATTTTACATATTCATTATTATCACAACAATAAAAGGAATTATGAATAACATTACCTGTAGTATAAGCTGTCTGATCCCAAGCGTGGCGCTAAAGTTCCATATTATCTGCAGACAAGAGAACTCCAGCTGCTGGAGCTCCATTGGTAACCAGTGCCAAGGCAGTCTGTGCATGCTTCTGTATAAATCCAACAGCAGCTGGAGGCCATTGTTGTGAATGAAGTAAAGTTGGTTGGCATTGGGTATGCCAGTTGGGTAGACTGAGAAGTATTTGAGAGGTATAGAATCACCAGTGAATGCGAGACAGTCTCCTTCAATGAGGTCGTGCATTTCATCAGTTATATCTCCACTGTCCAGTAACTCCGGTATGACTAGTTCTAATACTTCATTAATTCTTTTTAGTGTTGATATTAAACTAGAGAAGTAGTCGATATCCACTGATATTGTATACTGAACGTGTAATGTATCCCCGTGCTGGAGTCTGAGGTTTTTCAATATGGTAGAGTCCTCAATATCGACGCCGTAAAACTTTATCTGCTGTACGCATGCTGGTATGTGATACTGTGACTCAATGTGTTTCTTTAGATCAATTCCTTCTCTTGGGTAACAAGGGAGAGTTATCTCTTCGCTTCTTTTGTCTTTCGTCTGTGTCGACTTTAAGATAATGTGTAGCTTGCAAGGAGTGTTGTAGAATTCTTTGTCTCTCTGGGTCTCTTCCTCCCGTTCACAGCTAGGCTCGCATGAAGAAGAAGGACACTCATCAGTTCTAATGACAGAAGCTTCGAGGGGGCTACTTTCTTGTGCGTTTTTGTCAATGGAAGGTTCTTCTACATTGTGAGCCATCTCCTCCTCTCTCCCTCTGATCTCAGGGCTCCTCTGATTCTCGTCTTTATGCTGCTCTCTTGTTAGAGTGTCTCCCATTGCTGCCAGCTCCTGATTTACTCCTTTATTAATTAGTTTACTGCCACGCCCAAACAATTATCAGGGATACGCCCAAAACTAACACCCATCTTTTAATTTTTATTAATTATCACTAATCAGTTATGTTTTCTTAAAAGTCAAAAAATCATAATTAACTGAGATTATATTGCACAATACTGACAGGATCATGAACACAAGAGAGAGAGAGAGAGAGAGAAAAGTTAAGAAGCAATAAAATGAGGGCAGCTGCTAAGTGTATTGATTCTATGCCTTAATATATTTCGTCTTCGTCAGATTCAACCAACAAAACAGTCTTCTCCTGACCTCCATCACTCCCTCCTTTCTTTCCCAATGGACTCTTCTTAAAGGCATAGAGTGACACCCCCACACCAGTACCAGTGGTAGGAGAAGTAGGCGAGCGACCAAACTTCTTATCTTCATCGCTTTCGCTTAGATCCTCCTGAATAGCGTATTGCTGATAGACACGAGAGAAATTATGAATGGCATCGTTGACAACGTCATGAGGATTGAGAGTATCACGGAAGTGAGACGAGATGCTAGTCATTGGAATCCCACGTCCTTGGGGATCCTTACAGAGGCTCTGATAGTAGCTGTAGGGGAAGGCAAAGAAGAGGAGAAGAGCAGCAAGGAACATTTCTATCGTTATGAGGAAGTTCTGATAAGCAGCTGCATTCTCAGCACTTTGAATAACACCAACCCAATAAAGAATAGCAAGTAGGAGACCTAGTGATGAAGAGAGAGTGATTAGGGGTGGGCATTAAATAGAGAGAGTGATTAGGGGTGGGGCATTAAACAGAGAGAGTTTGGTGGTATTACACTCGAAATTTGGCAACTTAAAAGCAGATTACCGACATTATTATGAAAACAAAGACTCTTTTCTTACCTTGCCAAAATGAGAGGAATATGATTGACTTGATGCAAAAGAACTTCAGGACAGGCTTGTAATTGGAAAGAAGAGGCTTTGTTGCAGTATAGAACAATACCAGTCCGTACAGGGCAAACGTAACTGAGATGTTGTAAGCAAAAGTACAATAAATGTAGCCATATTTAGGACTAGAGGTATCAATAATGAAGAGAGGAGAATACGGTAATTATAATAAAAATATAACAAGAAGTATTTTAAGAAGAGCACTGAAGCTGTTATGGTTTAAACCACAACATAATAATTACACATCAACCATAAACCATCCCACCCAATTGAGTCAAATGTGACATCAACTTACTCCCAATTGCCCTCGTTGTAATAGTGGACTGCCTCTAGTATAATCGTTACCAAGGCAACAACAGGTTTGACGAAACAGAATTGGAGGGTCGACTGGATACAAAATCTTAAATATCTAATGGAGAAGGTCATCCTAGGGAAGCAACATGTACCAGTGATGACAGATCTCCTGTAAGAGAGAGAAAGAGAGAGAGAGAAGACATGATAATGAATATGAATATCATTGCAAATTTTAAAATCCCTCTTCATCTTACGGTATGGGAGTGCCACTAAGAGAAGCCAAGATGGAGGACTCACCACCCAAATAAGCGATACACAGACGAATAAAGTTATATATGACAAAAGCTAATAAACAACGTGAATAAACAAAAACAAATAAATATGTACGTACCTTCATAGCAACTCCTAATGGCGTCAAAATAAACTGAATATTGAGGGAAGAGGATACCTATCCATGAGCAGAAACCATAGACCGGGATAATGAAGAGTATACGGACTATCCACAACTGCTGCTCGGGGACAGTGTAGAACCGCAAGTGTTGAAAAACCTAAAGGAAGGCGGGTGAGCTTGCTATGAGCTGTCATAGACTTATTTACCTGGAAACAGGCTATTATGATGGCCGTGAATACAAACATGCCAGAAATAGCATGAGCGACAGGAGTAGAGACAAGTAAAGAGCAGCACCACTCAGTGTAGTTAGACTCCATCTTTCTCCCTTTCTTTGTTGACTCTTGATTTTATAACTTTAATTAACCACAATAACTATTAATAACTTTTGATTAACCTGACCTCCCACGGAAAGGCGGGTGCTGCTACTGCGCATGCTCAGCTAAAGTTATGACGTCATTACCCACACCTCTTTAATTGAGGGGTGTGTCTAATAAAAGCTGAGATACAAAAAATGTCGTTCCTTCAGAGGCAAAGAAACTTTTGGAACGAAATGCTATGGAAACCGAAGAAGCATCTCTCTCTAGACCAGCTTAAGTGAGAAAGAAAAGCATCAGACATTTTTTGAGTCCTTTTTTGTAACTAGATACCATTACACGGTCATAGAGCGGAATCCAGCAGTCACAGAAGCCAACAAGAAGTTGCTAGTTGAGACTTTCCGTTCCATCGCTGAGATATTGATCTGGGGAGACCAGAACGACTCGAGCGTCTTTGAGTAAGTCTACAACACTATTGAGGACATACAATAGACATGTCTGACCATTGTCCATTACTATTATTAATTTATTGTCTATTTTTGTAATGCTGTAGCTTTTTCCTTGAAAAGAATATGCAGTCTTATTTCCTTCGTATATTGAGCCAACATTGTGGCCGATATATGGTCCTGCAACTTCTCCAGACTCTGAGCATTCTCTTTGAAAATATAAGAAATGAAACTTCTATCTGTGAGCAATATTTCATTCCTATTCCTCCTAATCCATCTCATTCCTATTCCATTCCTTTATAATAATCTCATTTTCATTCCCATGTTTCTATTCCATGGTCTCTGGTTATGGGTATCAGTGTGTATGTTTATACTCAATCCTCATTCACTGTATTAAGACACACGTGATCTTGTTTGTTGTTCAGTAATCACTTCCTTCTTTATCTGCTGATTCATACATACGTAGCCTAGCACGGTCCTGGGCCAAATGTCAGGACAAATGCATGCTTTGAGAATAAAAGGAATTTCATATGGTCTAGTGATCCACAGCTATAGCAGTGCAGGGTAGCTGCTAAATGTTCTACATGTATGTAATGATAATAATTACTGCTTAATTACTGCTTTTATGTTATTATGATTAAATGTATATGTACATGTACATGTATGTGCATGGGAATAGGACAAAGTATATAATACAATAATAATTAATCAATAATGAAACTGCAATCACTGTACTGTGCTGTGTCAACTTCGTGTAGTATTCATGTTAAAGGTGTTGTTAGTGCCACTTAGCAAGTATGAATATATTTAACAGTTTGTTGTTTCTCGGTCTTAATACATACATGTATGTGCTATAATTTTACCACCTTTTTAAAGAGGCAGCTGCACGGTGTTTTAGTTCACAATCATTAATTCTTAATCTCTTCTTGTCATCCATTATTTTAGATTATCTATTGTCCAATAATCACGTCAACTCCATTATTGTCCTCAAGTTGGATTTCTCTGATGAAGAAGTCCTGGCCTATTACATCTCCTTCCTAAAGACCCTCTCCTTTAAACTCAACAAACACACAATTCACTTCTTTTACAATGAGGTGAGGGAGAAGAGAACGTACCTTAAAGACACACCATTCATTGGGAATTGTTTAAATAACTGTCACTGATAATAATCTTACTATCATTTTGCTTATACTGTTGTTAGGTGGTTGCCAATTTGCTACTACATGGCATATGTATTGTTTTGTATATATCTACATCAATGTACATTTACATGTACATGTGAATGCATATGCATGTACATGTATATGTGGGACCTTGTTTCTCCTTCATTTCTTTCTCATTGTCTTTATGTTCACTCTCTCTTCTCTCCTCTTTTCTCTTCTTTCAGCATTTAAGGGATTTCCCCCTTTACACGGAAGCGATAAAGTTTTTCAATCACCCAGAGAGCATGGTTCGTATTGCAGTCCGTACATTAACACTAAATGTATATAAAGGTAACAACAACAACAACAATAATAATAATAATAATAATAATAATAATAATAATATAGATTGATAGATTGATTTATTTTGATTTATTTTATGAATAGATTTTATTTTATGTGTTTTGCTTTATAGTTGAGGATAAGAACATGCTGGAGTATATCAGAAGTAAAACAGCTGCTCCTTATTTCTCGAACCTCGTTTGGTTTATTGGGAATCATGTCCTTGAGCTGGACGACTCCCTCAAGAAGGCGGAGTAAGTCCTTTAGTAGTTAATAAATGATTGTTGTTCTACCTTGCTATTTAACTGAACAGCATGAGCTTCATTTTTTGCAAAATTTCGCCAAAACCTCTGCACTATAGTACAGGGACTTTGGTCTGATTTTGGATCATTTTTGTCTTTATTTTCTTGTAGTCATTTGCACACGAGTAAACTAGAGTCCCTGGTTGCTGAACACTTGGATCACCTCCATTACATTCATGATATCCTGTGTCTGGACGTGTCCTCCCTCAACGAGATACTCATTGATCATTTACTGAACCGTCTCTTCATCCCACTCTACGTTAACTCAATGTGTGAAGTTCCGAGTTGCCATGACGACGAAAACCCCCATATTAGTAGCAAGATAGCATTATTCTTATTGTCACAGGTAGTTATTAATAATTATCAAAAGTTATCAATAGTTATTAATATTACTGATACCTCCTCCAGGTATTCCTAATTCTCTCCACTCCGATGTTAATCAATCAATTAAGTTTCCTCATCTTAACTGGCGACCAGTCCCTCTCTCTCTTCTCTTCTCTCTCTGATCCAGCTGCTAATGGAGGAGGGGTAGACTCTCCTAAGCACAGGAGGAACAGTTCCCGCGGGTCAATAAGAGGATTCATTCCCCCAGAGGAGCCCCTCTCATTCATTAGCTCTAAGAGGTGGGTGGGGTTGGGGGCGTGTCCTTGTTCATTATTATCAGTAGTCATGGTAACCCAATGAAAGTACAAGATGGTCGTGTTCATTATGAGGTTGCTACTGAAATGGGACCAGCTGGAGCTAACGGACAGGACGAGGGATCTAGCACAGAATCACAGTCCCACATGAAGGTACTGTACGTGTACTTGTATTGTGTATTTTATTTATTATTATTGTCAGTATTATTATTATTATTGTTATTATTATTCTTTAATACTTATAATATTAAATTTGAAAATGGGAACCCCTCCTCCCTCCCTCCCTCTCTCTCCTCCACTAGTGGCCAGTTCGCTAGTGTGTGTGTGTGTGGGTGTGTCTCTCTAATGTTCCATTGTATTTGAATCTTCTCTACACTTTATTTAGGAGCAGCTGTCAGCCATTCCTGAATGTGATGGGTTCGTTGTGATTGAGTCTCCAAGTGAACAGGAGAAGATGATGCTAGCTCTACAGAGAAAACTCATGATTGATAGACAGAGAAAGAGAGAGGAGGAGGGAGGGGAGAGGGAGGAGGAGGTAGGAGAGGGAGGAGGAGGGGGGGAGAGGGAGGGGAGAGAGAGGAGGGGGTAGGAGAGGGAGGAGGAGGGAGGGGAGAGGGAGGAGGGGGTAGGAGAGGGAGGAGGAGGGAGGGGAGAGGGAGGGGAGAGGGAGGAGGAGGGAGGGGAGAGGGAGGGGAGAGGGAGGAGAGGGAGGAGGAGGTAGGAGAGGGAGGAGGGAGGGGAGAGGGAGGAGGAGGAGGAGGTACTAATGACTGTTGTACATGTACATGTATACATGTTGACCTTGAAATTATTGATGAATTTATCAGTTGGGCCTTTTAACTCCAGATAATTTTAATAATCAAATTCTGCCATTTATTCATGAAACGTTTATTTGTTCTTTAAATATTATCGACCTAATGTGTGTTTCATGTACTCCAGTATTGATTCTGTTCTTTCCTGTAGAGTTCAGAACCTGTTAAAATCACTCCAGTTCACTCTCTCCCGATCATCTCAAGTCAATTTATTGATTCTGTGTTAACTTCGATGATTCCGCAATCAAACGATGATTCGTCCTGTCTTTTTGCTATATCCCTTGTGTATGCCATCATTAGCAATGAAGGTATTGATGGACGACTGTTGGAAGCCTTCTCACTAGTGAAGGTAAAGGAGAGAGAGAGAGTCCTATTGAAATGTGAAAAATGTGTTTGAAACGTACATGTACGTGTGTGTGTAAAGTTCTTCAAATTAAATGTAATTTATTTCTTCTTCATTTTCAGGACAACAAAGGAAGGTTTTATCTTCATGATGAGTTGGTTGGTCGACTTTTATCGGTCCTTGAAGCCTCTGCCATCAGCTCGGTGAGACTGGTCACCCTTCACTTGTGTTTGATGGTATTGAAACTGCTAATTGATGTACCGCCAAAAGATGGTGACCATCTTACCGACCACCACAAGAAGAAGTTGGAGAGAGCTACAGGAGAATCATGCCGACAGCTGGCAAAGTACTTCAAGACTTTGGTAAATGACTTTCGGTCTCTCTGTCCCTTTAATCCTCTCCTGTTTCTCTTTTCCTCTCTCTCACAGGGCTCTAACGACGACACGTTTCTTGAAATGTTTGAGGATGAATATTATCACGAACTTGTAAGATTTTATTTCTAACCCTTCACTTATTGCACCGCCCCCTCCCTCCCTCTCTTCAGAGATTCAGACTTCAACCGAATCATTTATTAATGGATTCTGCCTTGCTCCTCCCTCCAGCTGACACTCCAATGACTGGGATTGACTTCACTAGGAGACTCCCTTGTGGTGACACTGAGAAAGCAAGAATGGTAAAGGAATTTTCCATTTTTATAATATTTTCTGATACATATACATGTATTTATGTTGTGTAGAAAGTTTGAGCTGATTCCGATTGAAATTGGATTTTTTATGAATTTTTAAAGTTGCTCCAAAATCGGGCCAAAGTCCCTGTACTATAGTACAGGGATTTTAGTTAAATTTTGCCAAAAATGAAAAGTAGAGAATTCTCTATTTTTATGATATTTTCTGATGCATATACATGTACTTATGTTGCGTAGAAAGTTTGAGCTGATTCCGATCAAAATTAGATTTTTTATGATTTTTTAAAGTTACTCAAAAATTGGACCAAAGTCCCTGTACTATAGTACAGGGACTTTGGCCAAATTTCGCCAAAAATGAAAATTAAAGAATTCTCAATTTTTATGATATTTCCTGATGCATATACATGTACTTATGTTGCGTAGAAAGTTTGAGCTGATTCCGATCAAAATTAGATTTTTTATGATTTTTTAAAGTTACTCAAAAATTGGACCAAAGTCCCTGTACTATAGTACAGGGACTTTGGCCAAATTTCGCCAAAAATGAAAATTAAAGAATTCTCAATTTTTATGATATTTCCTGATGCATATACATGTACTTATGTTGCGTAGAAAGTTTGAGCTGATTCCGATCAAAATTAGATTTTTTATGATTTTTTAAAGTTACTCAAAAATTGGACCAAAGTCCCTGTACTATAGTACAGGGACTTTGGCCAAATTTTGCCAAAAATGAAAAGTAGAGAATTCTCTACTTTTCTTTACATTTTCTGATGCATATACATGTACTTATGTTGCGTAGAAAGTTTGAGCTGATTCCGATCAAAATTAGATTTTTTATGATTTTTTTAAGTTACTCAAAAATCAGGCTAAATTCCCTGTACAGGAAGTTGAGATGTTCAGCAAATTTCTTAATTTGTTTAACTGTAATAGTTAGTGTATCATGTTACTATTTATAACTTTATGGGAGAGTTGTGTTCTATTAATAGTAACACAATCACTGTTATCAGTGTAACTGTAGTGTCCTATATTTAGTAACACTGCTAAGGAAGTTAGTGGCTTGTTATTATAACATTATCCAATTGTTTGTGATTCATTTCCTATTCAATTTGCTGCTTGATTCATGAACACTATATACTACGTATTAAAACTAAATATACTTATAGCTTCACTTTAGCAATGAAATATCTAAATTTCCATTTTCATAATGAATTGATTTTATGAAATAAATTACCTGACCAATGGAAGATGTAAAAATGAACCAGGACAGTGTTAGATACTGATATAAGTTATGTCTGGTTGGTTTTAATTTGGTAGTGGTCATTGGCTGTGGCTTGGGTTTAATTTCCTTTACATTTAAGACTGTTTAGTCTCTCTCTCCCTCTCTCTTTTAAACCTTGAGCAGTATACTGAATCTAGTGGTAGAAATGTATTCATAATAATATTATGATACTATTGGGTGATATATTATTCATAGTGTTTCTCCATTTATTTCAGATACAGTGAATGGTACTCACTCAATCAAGGTCTTCGGAAAACTTTTCCTCTAGAAAAGTTTCCTCCTCTTCCGAAAAAGATTTTTCTTGGGCGGAGTCAGAAGAAAGCAGTTGCCAGGCAACGAATGTGGGAACTCCAAGTATTCCTTCAGGTAATTAATACAAAAAGTTGATAATTAATAATGGTACAGCAATATAATGGTAATTTGGAGTGAAGAGATTGTTTACCTATTACTGACAAATTGTGTGTGGGAGAGAGAGAGAGAGAGGAGTAAGGATATACTCCTCCATCCATCCTCCTCCTCCTCTTATCAAAGTCATCAATTAGTAGTAACAAGAGCCTCTCTTAATGGACACTCTCTATAGCGTACACCTCCATTTAACGGACAGCACCTAGTGTACCAATTACATTCCTTACTGTATAAAACAACCTCCACATAAAGGACACCTCTGTATAACAGAGACACTTTCAAAGTGTCCATTATATAGAGGCTAGTCTGTATTTATGTATATGTAGCTCAGTGAGAAATGAAGTCATTATTTTATAAAGTAAGGGATCAAACACTTGATGTCTCAAGACTGTGAGATTTGTTGATTGCTGCTTCCTCTTTAAAAGAAAAGGAAATCCAAATTATGTTACAAAATATTCCTTCAATCTACTCACACAGTCATTCTCTCCCTTTGTCTGTTTCCTTTCTAAAATATCCTTGAGGCTATATTTCCCTCATTTCCTCACAATTCCATTTTTAATTCCACAAACAATGTTCTAGTGCTTCTCCAATTTATCCTTCAGACACACACACCCAAACTTCTTGCATTGTTTTGTCTGATGCTTTTTCACTTTATGAAATATTACCAGGGGAATTTTACACCAGCCAGTGGGTGCAGCCAGTGGGTGCATCAGAAGTGTAGCGTGAATGGGAGGGATAGCTAAAGGTTATCAGGGCCAGACTCCTGCCTGTCTTGTAATCACTTTAGCTCTGTCTCAGTCTAATCCAATTAGCCTCCCATATATGGCATACAGACAGTTGCTGCATTATCATTATACAGAGAAGCCTCTTTCATGTCTCACTCCAGTGGACCCCATCACTAGTCCTACTAGTAGCTGTAACAATTGTATAGTAAAGGTCCAGCAGTTTCTGTAATGAATATACAGTCAGTAGTCTGTGTTGTGCCTCTATCAGATTATAAATGGATGTATTAATGGTATATGTTCTATGTTTGCCTCTTGGGTTTATTTCATAAAGGTATGAAGTTACTTATCTTTAATTGGCTTAGTCCTCAGCAGAGGAAACAGAACCCACTTTATGTTACCTTCAACCAGACATAAGACTGGCCCATTAGTACAAGCCATTGCTGGAGGATTCCCAATGTATACATACATACATATACACGTACATATACACGTACATATACATACATGTACATGTACATGTATATGTACATGTACATGTATGTGTACAGTTTTTCATAATTTTCCTTGTCCTCATTTGCTACATAGTACAAGTTATAAATGTCTCCTTTGCGCCTCCCCCTCCCTCTCTCCCTCCCTCCCTCCCTCTCTCCCTCCCTCTCTCCTCCAAGTTCATGTGTATTTGCTGATTCTTGTCTGCTTGCATCAGCTAATAATCACATGTTTAGACTGACCTTATCTCACAGCAGCTGCCCAGTTGTAAGGTTTACCCAAACATTACTACCTCATTTATTTATAGCACTCTCATATGACCATTACAATAACTGGTAACCCCCTCACTATATACTCCTGGCACTTTCAATTAATAGCTTTGGGCTCACTCCTTATATGGAGGTACATGTGACATTGCATTTTTTGAATGATAAAGTTATTTTGGAAGTGATTGTGGGAAGTTGTTGTGTTTGCTAGGAAGTGAATAATGTAGCTGTACAGTAACACATTGATATACCCTATCACTCTTCATGTTCATTCACATATATGATCATCTATTGTCATCACACTTTCCTTGTTATTTCCATTAACATGTACATGTACATGTATACAATATTAGTATAATGGAAGTGTGTTGTTTTTAAATGTCTACTGACAATCCTGTCATATGCTTTCCTGTATTAGCTCTTGTTGTTGTCCAGCTGGTCTTCTTCTCTCCCTTTTTACATTACTCATAGACTTGTTTAATGTAAACTGTTAGTGCCTGGTACTATTATGGTAGAAGTTGCTGACTGTTATATGGTTGGTTGGTATGTGTACACACAGTCTGTCCTATTATTATTATAATTGTCTTTATTTATGTAAATATGTATTATTGAGGAGGATAAGCATGTGTCTGTGTGTGTGTCAGCTGTCAATGTTTTGTTGTTTGTGTTGAGTGTGGCATATATGAAACATACCACGGATTATAATCCTGTCTCTCTCTGTGTGTGGTTTTATATATACACGTATACATTGTGTGTGTGTGTGTGTGTGTGTGTGTGTGTGGCGGTATGAAGTGTTCTAATGGAATTTTGAGTAACAGAAAAACACAAACAAACCCTAATTATAATCTCTTTAGTAAAAACACACAATTACTCATGAGCAAATTATGACAAATTGATTGGTTGCTGTCCTTAATACAGAGGTGTCCTCAATATAAAGGTGTCTACATGATAGCTGGTTGTTGTGTGTCTATCCATCATTGTTTGTGATTACAAAGTGACCATCTTTATATCGTTCTTCTCAAAAGGGAAGCATCATATTCAAAGTTTGTCTGTCATTTCCTTTGAATGACAAATGAAAGTGTTTGTTTCTCTTCATCTCTCCCTCTCTATCTCTCCCTCCATTTCACTTCTTGTGTATGTTTTCTTGTTTCTAAAATAACAATGACATAGCTTTCAAAGGGATCCCTAATTGCTTTCATTAATGATAATATACAATGTACACTAGCTCTATCTCCCTTTCCTTTTAGCCACCTACTGTTACATGATTAGATAATGTTCTCTCCCTTTGTTTGTCCCTTCCTAACTTTTAGTCCATTTATCTATAGCGAGTACATTAGACTTAGTGATATACATGTTCTAGTGTTGTTGACTGTTTAATTAAGTCTCTTTGTGTTTTGTATGTGGTTCACTGTGCATATGTTCACTGGTCCTTATTGTGGTATAATGGGATATCAGTCCAGCTGCTTCACTTCCCGCCTTCTTTATCATGTGCCCATTAATTAATGTTTTGTTTACAGTCTCATGTGACATGGGATGGATATTGATTAAAGTTTTGGTTAATTTCTATAGTCTATGCTTTTTTCCAAAAAATGGCTCCGAAATCACCCCCAATTTTTATTACATTTTCTGATACATATTGATGTACTTATGCTGTGTAGAAAGTTTGAGCTGATTCCGACTTAAATTTTTTGAGTTACGGCCATTTAAAAATAAGCCAATTTTGAAAAACCCTGTACTATAGCTAGCCCATGTTCTTTTCCAAGAATGTGTATACATTGATGACAGTTGTTTGGACATGTTTACCTCACTTTTATTTACATTTTTTAGTGACTATTTTCCTAACTACATGAGGTGTGTTAGTTGTTTCCATACCGGTATCTCAAGTATTGCTATATTTGGATGCCATATTCTAAATAATGCACACCACATTAGCAGCTGTTTGTTTTAGTGTGTTTGTTCAACTTTATGATATACCATACTTTGTTTTTTTTCCTTTGACATAATTTATACGGAACATTTTCCAAATTTGTATAGCTTGTTCTCTTTAAAGTAGCAGAGATGTAAAAAGGTGGATACACAATGGCTGTAATGTATGTGTACGTGCGCTTTTGAGTTAAGATCAAAAGAGTTGTCTTTGTTAAAGAACAAAGAAGACTTAGTCTATAAATGAAATGATTATAGTTTTGTTTGTTCGAAACAAAATATACTCTTTGATAGTTTACCTTTTGATGGAGAGGAAGAGAGAGAGAGAGAGAGAGAGAGAGAGAGAGAGAGAGAGAGAGAGAGAGAGAGAGAGAGAGAGAAAGAATGAAGGCCTAGGGGCTATGTTTTTCATATGTTATTATAATATTTTCTTTGATGGTCAGTTTCAAAGTACAGTCAGAGACATGATGTCATGTGTTATGGACCAGTTACCTTGTCTGAACAATGAGAGGAAATAAAACTGTCATCTGTTAATCACATTAGTCTAGCAATATTATGTCATATAGTATAAACATTCAACAATTTCTAGGAAAATTGATTTAAAATGTTCCTCTTTCTAATTATCATTCTTTCTTTCTGTTCCTTTTATATGTGTAGGGGTTGCTCTCCATGAGTCCTGAGGTGGTTAATTCCGTTCTTTTGAGAAGGTTTTTCAAGCAGACGGACAGCGACCGCGAGGATGAGATCTTCAACAATAAGATACAGCAACTTCAGTCAAGACGTGATATGTCTTAACTACTATCATCACTCCATATCTTCCTTAATACTTTAGACTTCTATTGATAACATTGTCTTGTGTCATTTAATCAACAATCACTCATTCCTATTATATATATATGATTATTATTATAATTGTTTTGTCTATTTTATTGATCATTTCTCACTGTTGCGATTCATATCTATCTATCTATCTATCACCATGATTACCCTCAACTATTATTATTATTATTATTATTATTATTATTATTATTATTATTATTATTATTATTATAAAAATATTAGAGAAAAACAAAAAAGGGAAAGGAGAAGGAAGGCCCTATGAGAAAAAAAACAAAATGAAGAAATGATAGATACAATTAAGAAGAGACTAATAATAAAGAAGAATAAAAGAGTCTCATTATTATTATTATTACTATTATAATTTATATACATGATTTTTGACCTATCAACAGTTTCATTTAATGAGTATGATGTTGTCTGTTTAAACTTATTATTTGCAAACACTATAGCTGTAAATAGCTGCTATGATATTAAAAAAATAAATTTTACAGAATAGCTTTGGAAAGTAAACAGCTTAATTGTGTTTATTAATTGGCTGTTTCCGGTTTGGCGATCTACTTCCGGTTTGTCGATCTACTTCCGGTTACCCCACAATTCTCATCATAAATTTTTACTCTAAAAAGTACAGCAGACATTCTTTAGTGTTAATTTTGGATGATTCCCATAAAGTGTTTTTTACTCTAATTATATGCAGCCTCTGCTTGCTCTTGGGTATTCACATTACATCATGGCCACTCTGTTGTGGTTTTTTAAGTTGTAAGAAGTACTACAAGAGTCTTAAAGGCATGTACTGGTAGTTTTTAGACATGATATTAATTCTTTTATCTCTTGTAAAGTTTTCCTACTAAAAAACATGTGCTCTATATAATGAGATGTGTTATTCAGCTATTCTAGCATTGCCCACTGGCACCAATTAAAATAAATTCTAATGCAAGCCAATATTGCATGAACAAACTTTCTTTGTTCTCTTGTATAAACTGAAGGACAATGACACTTTGATAATAAAAACTGCCAAAAATAGTTGGAAAAATTCTGGAGGTGTGGCTCAATTATGACGTCACTGGTCAGCTCTTTTATTAATTTTGCTTGCTCCATAACTCCATAGGAAGGAAATGAAAATCAAACTGGAGTAGGTATATAAAGGAGACGTATCTCTCGCCTCCCTCAGTTTGAATTTTGACAAGCTTTGCAAAAGGTGTAAAGAGAAAGCAGCCAAGAGCTACTAGTCACCAGAAGCAACTAGCAAGCAAGCAAACAGTTTTAAAGACTGATCCAATAGAAAGAGTAATATGTCCACGACCCTATTAGTCGAGACAAGCAGCAACATTAAAATACTAACAAGGAGAGACTCGAAAGACTCTTGCTACAGCGAAGAAATGGATCTCTCCTCAACAAGCAGCAATTCTGATGAACGTGGAGTCTCCCCACTAGCTCTATCAGCCACTAACTCGCCAGTGTCGAGGAAGAACTCCGTAAGCGGGGACTCTGGAGTTTCCATGGATTGCTTCGGGGACCTTTGCAAGGTAAGAGCTTGTGACAAAGTGAAAGAGAGACAGAGGAGGGGCGGTCCGTCGATACTGTGTGGTTGTTCTATTGCCTCGTGTTCAGTTGTTAACCTTCTCTCTCTCTTATTTCTGCCTACAGGACAACTCTTCATTAAGCGGTCATTTCGACAGCAGGACAGGAAGAAACATGAACGGCCATTCAAAGTAAGTCTTACACACACGAACACACAAGCAGTCGGCCTGACTGTGTAGATAAAAACAACATTTTGTCACTCATTCTCACTCAATTTGATGAATATTAACCATCTTTCTCTCTCTCTCTCTCTATCATAGTAGCCAGTTTCTTGACAAACTAGCACTGATGGAAGAAAAGCTCCAAAGAATGGAAGAACTATTGTCCTCTGAGTCTCAAAAAAGGAAAGCCCTAGAGAGCAAAGTTGCCCAACTCGAGGCCGACAATGAAAAACTCACTTCCCTAAGGACTCAAGCCGTCGCTCAACTTCAAATGTTCTCCGAGAAATTCTTTGCAATGCCAGATCCCAAGAACACGTCACCAGTCAGCACTCCTCCTTTACAATCACCAAAACCTTATTCGCCACGAGTTCTACAATCACCACGTCACTCTCAATTGGAGTTGAGAAGAATCGGGTCTAACTCGAGTGTCGTAAGCGGGAACAGTGCTCACAGAATGAGTGGGCATTACCCTACCTATCCAACGATTTCCTCAAGACACAGTAACATTTCTTTATAAGAAATAGTGTCTGTCTTCATTTTGTGTGCCCGTGTGTTTAAATCGTGTGATCTTGATGAAAGAGGATCTCCTCTGATTCAAAGTGTCCATTGTCTGTGTTTGAAAACTCTGTGTGTGTATCATTATCATTAATGACACTATTATCCACTATGCATATCCACATTCTGTATTATATTAATTTTTGCTTTTCATTTCATTGCACTATTATCCCATCCATAATAATCAATATTATTATTATTATTATTAACAAACACAAGATTTGGTATAAACTTACAAATCATAAAAAAATTAATGAAAAGCGACTAATCTTGTCCAACAAAGCCAGTTTCTAACACAAGGCAGGCCAATGAGGATGTTTCTTGTTGAAGAATCAACTGCCATCAGCTGTTCTAACAAGCTGAGCTTGTACCGCCAAGTGTCCTTACATAACGCCAATGATAACAACATACTTATTAAGGAGAAGTGGGATGCAGCATTCAAATCACATGAAGGTGTTAATGCCCATACAGTGAACTGTACCATGCACCACACTCATCATCCTACATATTGTCATTAAAGAGTGCAACTTAAAGTTACAGTACTGCAGTATAGCCTCTCTTAATGGACGTCAGTCATTATTATTTTATTAATATGTCACAGGACGTACACATATAACAAGCAGGTGGTAGGTAACATTGGGTCTTTGTGTATTGTCACATGATGTAATCACCAGTGGACCTTAATCCAATAACAATCAGGAGTAGTCAGGCACATGAGGATGCTAGTATATCCAGTGCTGGCATTAATACCCACTAGAATAATGACCAGTTATAATACTAATAGGATTATTAGTGCCCATTAATGAACGTGTGACCTCTTGTCATGATTATGTGAGTTTCCTGGGGACAAACTTTCTTAATTATGTGGAAGGAAGTAAAACCAATAAATTAATAGTAATAATATTCAAAAATGATACCACTAGACTATAATTAGCAAAATATTTAAAATAAGTTTTATTTGCAAGTTTTTATATTATTAGTTCTGATCTTCAAATATTTCTAATCTTCAAGTACATGTAATTAAACGTAATAAGATGGGGACAGCAATAAGTCAGAGAGGCTTGACAGCTGGTCTTCGGTAAACTTGAGCTTATGCTCCCTCCAGTTGTCATAGTGTGTCCTCTTGAACTCAGTCATGGCTTTCTTTACTGTGCTCTAGGGGACATTAGGGAGAGAGAAAGGAAGAGAGTTTAATTTATTGTGTTAAACTGAGACAGAGATGATTGTAATCTCTCAAGTGCATTGGATGACATAATGTCTGTCCTCATAATTAATCCCCAACCCACAAGGACAGACATACACAACATAAGTTGTGTTCTTATATTCTGGGCTAATAGTGACAGCAAAGGGAGTTGATGGTGCTAAGTGGGATGATGTAGAGAGTGATCTGTAGGTGTCCATGCCAACTGAACACTGTCTGTCTTGGCAGACAAATAACAAAATATAAGAATTGAAATTATCAGTGAATGTCTCCTCAGTCTGATGGTTAGTCTACACTGCCCATCTATCCCTTTCACTGGCCCATTATCAGTAAAAGAAATTCACAAGCAAACACTCAACACTTGAAGAGCTACTTCCCAATACACAACAATAACTTGTTCAATGTTGACAAATGTGATCCACCATTAGTTTACAGCTAACACTTGCCCCTATGCAGCAACCATGTTTAATGTGAAATGTACCTTGATTTATACTTAGATAAAGAATAAGCTGATGTGTCTTAAAGTTACTTCATTTCTTATTAAGTTTCACTGGCTGGTGATGTCATATAGTGCTTATACACCAGAGCCTCTTATCATCATTCCAGTTATACTCACGACACTACTCTAACACAACTTCCTCTCATCCGCACAACACTCTCCCTCTCTCTCTCTCTCTCTCTCTCGTTACCATGGCAATGCCACTAAGTGAAAGAGAGAGAGGCAGTAAAGTAAACTGTCGCTATCATTAGCAGTGAAACACTATCAAAAGAGCTTACAAAATAAACAGAGATAGTAAAGACAGCCTCAGATCTAAGAATAGATACATATGGCAGACACAAGCTCTAACTTGAAATTACACAAAACTATACTTCAAAGGATCTAGCTGTTTGGAAATATTTACTTGATGCCAGGCTAGTGCAGGTGTGCAAGGAGCTGCTGAGAAGCAGTCAAGAAGTCTCCTTTAGATAATAATGAGCCTAAGTACATGTACATGCAAGTACATGTACATGCTTGTTGCATTTCTTTATTATAAAGGTATGATTTAATTTAAAAAGAATCCAGTGCATGTAGACACTAGTCACTGAAGGGTATTAGGAGTAATCACGCAGACAGTATAAGTGGAATTCCTTGCTTTGGTTATTTGCAAACTTTCTTATCAGATAAAGATTTAATAGAGTCAATAATGGACTGGACACAAAGTGTACTGGCATATCATGTACACAATGTGATAATAGGCTGAATAAGAAAATAATAATAATAATGGAGAAGATAAAATGGTGGAAAAATAGGAGAGAGAGGGGGCAGTTACGTAATTGATTCAAAAAAGACACTGTGTATGGTTACATGAAGAAAGTGGATATTGTTGTTATATCATTGAGAGAGTAAACAGGACACATAGTTACATATATTAGGCACATGACAGCATCCAAACAAAAACAACACGTACAGTATAGCTGGACTAATCAAGGTGTTTGACAATAAGAAGGCTATATTAAGAAATGAAGTAAGCAGTAATGCGGTCATGAGGTTGTTTAAGAGGAAGCAGAGGGAGGAAGGGAGAAAGGGAGGGAGGGAGAGAGGAAGAGGGAGGGAGGGAGGGAGAGAGAGGGAGGGAGGGAGGAAGAGAGAGGGAGGGAGGGAGGGAGAGAGGAAGAGGGAGGGAGGGAGGGAGAGAGAGGGAGGGAGAGAGGAAGGGAGAGGGAGGGAGAAGAGAGTAAAGAGATAGACAGACATTGATATAGACAAGAGAAACCACTTAGATAAGATACAACCACAAGGACACAACAAAACAATTAATTCAAATTTCAGCAACTGAATACAACCACACAGAGACAAACATGATTGTACAGTGTAGCCTCTTTGGGCCCACACTACCTGTCCTTAATACATGTACAGTGTAGCCTCTTTATTAAGGACACCATTGGGTCCACACTACCTGTCCTTAATACATGTACAGTGTAGCCTCTTTATTAAGGACACCATTGGGTCCACACTACCTGTCCTTAATACATGTACAGTGTAGCCTCTTTATTAAGGACACCATTGGGCCCACACTACCTGTCCTTAATACATGTACAGTGTAGCCTCTTTATTAAGGACACCATTGGGTCCACACTACCTGTCCTTAATACATGTACAGTGTAGCCTCTTTATTAAGGACACCATTGGGCCCACACTACCTGTCCTTAATACATGTACAGTGTAGCCTCTTTATTAAGGACACCATTGGGTCCACACTACCTGTCCTTAATACATGTACAGTGTAGCCTCTTTATTAAGGACACCATTGGGCCCACACCACCTGTCCTTAATACAGAGGTGTCCTCATTTCAGAGGTACTTTTGTATAGGCTTGTACCAATTGGGACATTACAAAATGTCCTTGTTATTCAATTTATACCAGTAGATAATGAAAGCACAAAATAAGTTGTGTACTAATGAAAATAGAAGATCAAACGGAGAAAGCAAACTCCCCAGCCAAATCACTGGCTTGAGTTGATAAGGTAATATGAAACAAGTAGTCAATAAAGATAGGG